TGAACCTTCATGCCCAGCAGAAAGGCTTCAGCGTGGGCCACAGCTCAAATACTCTTACCACTACTGGGGCTTGGCACTGTTCTATGTTGCAATTGTTTCCCACTTTCCTGTCACCTTCAAGTAGCTGAGACCAGTTTCCTGTTTGAAACATAACCGGCACTGGTCAGTGGTACTAGAAGTCAAAAGACTGCTAGTTTATTGATCCAGTTTCCTACCGTCACATTCTGCATCCAACTGTGACAAAATTTGATGAGAGGATTGCAAACTGTTGCCCCAAAGACGCAGTGCCAAAAGAGAGGGCAGCCCCACCCAAACCAAGTCTCCACTCTCCTGTAAAGGCTGCGGTCTGCTTATCTAATTTAAATTGGTTCTTTTGTTGTACTAACTCTGCCAAAAAAAAATCTTAAAATCTGGCCAAAATTGGCATAAAATGGGCACTGAAATACCACATTGTGTGCCTACAGTAAAACCCAACAAATTTTTATGGAAAACTCAAGAAATATCCAAGATTATCCAAAATATCCACCAAGAAGCAGAAAATTAGATATTTTACCTTTTCCTGATACTTTCTCAATCAATTTCTTTGGATTTTGGACACAATATGGAGTACTCCAATGCGTATTTTATGCCAACTTTGGCAGGATTTTACAGATTTTTTTGGTGGAGTTAGTCAAAAGAAAAAAAAAAAAAAACCTCCAATAGAGATACGCAGACGACAGCCTTACTCTCCCTGGGGCTGGAGGGCTCATTGGGGGAAGTGTTGCTCGATTGTCACACCAAACCAAATTGAATCCACGCTTTGGTCTCCAGACATTCCCTGTACCAGCAGCAGTACGGGAGCTGGAACTGAGTAACTCAAACACTCTCATTAATCAATGTATGGGCCACGTAGGTGTTCAAATGACCCCTACGTGATTTGAACACGCAACCTTTCGATCTGGAGTCGAATGCTCTACCATTAAGCTAATGAGTCCACACAATGGCCATCCCAAATCTAAATTATTACATTTTTGTCACACTCCTGTCACACTCTATGGAAATCATGCGCAATGGATTGTCATGACTTGTCCACTGCCAGATATCCTGCATTCCATAAAAGAGGAGAAGGAAAAGCGATGGGGTCTTTATCTTGCAAAGAGCCCTATCTCAAACACAATGAAAACAGTTAGTGGTGATGGGACAGACAGAATGCCACCAAACATCCCTCATTGAGGTGTCACTGGGGTGCTGCAGAAGGAGCTGTTGTTGCCAGTGACAAGGGGGGGAAAGAGAGAAGTGAGCAGACCATGTAGGGATTGGAAGGTCACCAGCTGGGAACTTGTGCATGGAAACACAAGCAATCAAGAATGCGCCACACCCAAATGCCCACAGCCACATCCACTTGACTTGACCAACAGGCTTTATCACATGTGTAAACAGTCTACTCTGAGTGAGTGAGTGGAAGGAGTGAATGAAGTGGAGATGTGTGCTTGTTGGTGGTCCTTCTCCCAACTTGAAGAGAAAGAGTTATGTATAACTTCCCCAACTTGGAGAGAAAGAGAAAAAGCTAGTAACCTCTTTTTTCTGCCACACATTCCTGCCACACCCACATCATCAAAAAGTCAGGGCGTTTGTCATTTTGGAGGGTCAAACATTAAAGCGAAAAGGGTTTGTATAGATCCTAGGTCGTCTAATGGTTAAGATTCCACCCTCTCACGGTGGCGATCGGGGTTCGATTCCCCGCCTGGGAGATTTCTGCAGTGGTCCAGACTACAAAGGCAGATGATAAAATCTCTTGTGCAATGTGTGTGGAATGCTTGTGACCATTGGGCAAAAGGTGTTTGCTTTCCAAAAGCAAGCAGCTAAGTGGCAGTTGTTCCTGGGCTTGTCTCATTCTTTCCACTAATTTTTGGACATTTTGAATTCATCCTGTGGCAGTTTTTCCCCATAGAGCAGCACCAAATCAACATGGAATTGCTGTTGTACTAGGTAACGTCCTCTCGCAATGAAGTGATCCGACAGTTGGGAGGGGGTGGGGGGAAATTTGCATTGTCAGGCCAGGCTCTTTCCCCAAATGCTTTTCTGTTTTTATTGGGAACAATCCATTGCTTTTCCTGTTTTACCATAAATTTGTACAGAAACGATTCCTTTTTTGTTCTTTCCTCTTTCTGGTCAGTCGCATGCGGCCTCCAAGCTTTTCACCAACTTTTCAAGGTATCTTGAAACAGATAAATGCAGCTCCCATTTTACCACCCTGTTGGGCGGTCTGACTCTGGTTTGTAGCAATGTTTTTCTTTCATTGCAACAATGACTTTTCAATGGAAACAGCAATATTCAACATCCCTACCAATGGCAGTATTATGCATTTTTGCATGAAACTGACTGACTACCACCCACATGCCAGCCAAAGTGTGCAAAAGTTTATCGTAAAATAGAACCGAACAAAATTTTTGTAAGTGTGACTAAGGTTTCAAACCCATACGTATCGTTGATAAATCACTTTTGAATATAGTAATTAAAGTTAAAGCTCCTTGTCCAAAAAATTTAAAAAAGATTTTCAAAAAGAGATCCAGCTGCTTTCCAGGTGCAAAGTTTGTTAAACAATTAATATTGTCATAATAGAAAATATCACGATATGTATTAATTTGAAACCTTAAGTGTGACAAGGCACATTCGTGATTGGAGGGAGGGGCCGGTGAGCAACTTCTTGATTGGAGGGAGGGGCTGGTGAGCAACCACGCGGCCTCAGCCTCCCTCTTCAATCAGAGCACAGCTTTTCTGTGGTGTGGCTGAACTTGGCTGAAAAGGACAATGTTTTCAATATTCTGACCAGAAAGGAAGCATGACAGAGAGTTCTGATGGGTCCAAAGATGCACAAGGGAGCGCCCGATGTGGGGGTCGAACCCACAGCCTTGTGATTGCAGAGGCCCTGTGTCGGGTTAGCTAAGAGTCACACGCTCTACCGATTGAGCTAACCAGGCTGTACTGATTTCGAGCCCACCACCTGCACCAGGCTAGATTTCAGATCCCTTTTTTGCCAATACTGACTAAAATGAAAGCAGTTTTGAGTTTTAACTTTTTCAAGTTCCTATTTCATAATATGGTGGCATATGCTGCTGAGCATTTGAGGATGCCTCTCCTGCAAACTGGGCAAACTTGCGCAGAAAATCATTGAAAGGAGAGAAAAAGTGCCAACTCTGCAATGCAACCAACAGGGACCATGCACCTTGCCTGCTTGACAAGAGAAACAACACGGGTCATTGCCAGTCTTGCTATAATAGTCAATTAGGCGAGTGTGACAGGCAAAGGGTAAAAATCTCTCCTATTTTATCTGCTTGAGCAGAGGAGGAGGAAAACTGTCTACCCTGGGTTTCCGTTCCACTTTATACACAGAGTATTTGTCAACAGTGCAAGCCAGCACCTGGGTCTGCATTGGAAGTTGCTAACAAAAGGTTCAGGGCCGTCTTGTCCCTCTTGATGCTAACCAGTCAGTTCCACCTAACATGAAGAAATGAAAGGATGGAAGAATAAAAAATTAGTGACAAGGCGACACAGATAAGAAAGAAAACATTAGAGATAAGAAGCATTTATAAGATTGTGTAAGCATATAAACAAGGGGCTCTCAAGTTACTCAGACGCTAATTGTAACTCAAGAGCCAATAGGAGCTCTTTAGGGCCTGCCACACACGAAATGCAGATTTGAACCTGGCCCAACTTGATTCAATGTTTTTGGACCCAAACACCAATTTTTGCAAAGCCAGACAAGTCTGATTATCCATGGGATTCAGCCGAGCCCAGCAAACGAGACAACAAGGGACAGCTTATAACTTGCCTTATAACAGAGTGTATGGGGTATGTGTGCAGAGCAGAGTGCACAGCAAGCAACCATCCATTGAGCTAGGCTATGTATATCTGCTGGATTTGTCTATTATGTTGCAGCCAACGGTACTTGCTTAGGTTCCAAATCGACACATGACATACGATAAATGTTGCGACAAGGATAGGGCATTCCAGCATCGGTTTATGTGGTATCGCGGTACGTTATTGCGAAATTTATCTCGTATGGATAATGAATAATTAGTATATTGCAGGGAATCAAACCTGGAACCCAATAACTATGCGCAGCTCTGTTACCATAACAATAGGAGGCCAAATGTCATGAGAACGTGTTGATTTGAAACATTAGTAATTGCCTTGACTGGGCTGTAGACAGAGTTGTCACTAGGGTGGTCTCATAAACAGGCCATGGCGTGACAGGAACTACTGCAGGGGACAGGTGCCTTGTATGATCCTGTCTCTCAGCCCACCAGCTGTGCTGCTGGCCCAGTTGAGGGGGATACCCTTGGGTGGCAGAGGATTTGTGAGTGACTGCCAGGGACAAACAATTGTACATCTGTCTCTGTACTTACGGGAGGTGGAGCAGTTGTCTACAAAGGAGGTGGGAGGCGGGAAGTGTCTGTCCTGTTCCCAGCTCAAGTCAGGGGAATGTTCCCTGTCAGGACTCAAAACCCTCTTGGCCTACCTCGCCAAGTCAACTTTACCAGGAGGAAGCAGCTTAGAGGAAATTCAGATTGACTGCAACAGACAGGGTCAGAGACAGTCTACTAGTCTAGGCAGACAACAAAGGACAAATTCAAATTAAGAAATAACACATAGACAAATGGAGCAGACACAGAATGTGTACTATTTGATCATAGTCCAGACCATTTGAGTACTACTAGTCACAGTAGCACACTGGTCCGTGGGTGGTGTACATGCTAAGTGCCAGTGTTATGCTTTTAGTACCAGCTTTGTAAAACCACAGATTTAAACGTAAAAAAAAAAAACGTGTAAAATCCAGCTTTGACAGGTTGTGTAGGGTAGGAAGCCCCTCTAACCCGGTCAGATCAACAGTTTGTGCAAACTGGTGGGTTGTTGTTGGGTTCTGGTTTTGGAACACCCTGTCTGATAGTTGAGATTTCTCAATATAGCAATTGAGCCAGGAAGTTGTGCAAAAATTTTGTGGTTGCAGAATGTCTATATGTTATATGTTGCCGAGTTGGTCTAAGGCACCAGATTATGGCTTTGGTCTCTCCAGAGGTGTGGGTTTGAATCCCACTCTGCTCAATTACACTGCCAGAATATCACCTTAGAATCCTTTCAACCCTGAGCCTTGATGATCTGCCTTTCGGTCCACATACAGGTTTTGATAGTTGAATGTATCTCCCAATTGCTGAGCAGACGAATAAATTTCAGGGAAAATTGGAAGAACAATTGAAATAATTGGGGAATGGGCAGAGCACCAATGAAGTCCAATGGCTGTGGGCTTGCACCTTTTGACCCACAATTTTTGGCCTTTCAGGAAAGAAGAAAAGAAGGAAGAAAGAAAGAAAAGAGAAAAAGGAAAAAACATAACAAAAGGAGAAAATGAAAGAAAGAACAATTTGGCAGGATGAATCACTCTTTCAGCCACACACCCCCTCCACCCAGTGTCTCTCCTGCCTCCAAATTTGGGGTGAACATAATTTGATGCTTTGAGGCCACATCAGTGCAGGGTCAGTGGATTGAAAGGTGGAAAAATGAGAGAAAAGGAAAATGAGTAAAAATAAGAATGAATAGGATAAATAAGGGGTGTGCCCCTTGTGCTTAGGCCCATTCAGCACAAGGAACATAGGATGCTCTTTTATAGTGATAAACACTAGAGCCTGTGAGGGATGTGATGAATGGTAATAAAGATAAAATAAATATAGGTGGTCACAACTGGGAAAGAGCTTTTAGGGAGACCCCAGCAAGACCATGATCAGTGAGGTTAGGAATCTCACAAAGTTCGCAGAGGCTGATTGGACTGAGGTTAGTGATGTCACCACCCCACGCAGCTTTCTTGGGTATGGGGAAGATGGAGGAAGATGCCCAAGAGTCTGGAATGTCAAGGAAGAGAAAAGAGCGAATGATGAGGGAGGAGAAGAATGCGAGAGCATCAGGACCAGCTGCAAGGAGAAGCTCTCTGGAGATTTGGGAGGGGCCTGGGGCTTTGTTTGAGGCAAGAGATGTGAGAGCGTTTTCGACGTCGTTGGCAGAAGGGGGCAGCATAACCGTGGAGAAAAGATCTGGGGGGATGTAGGAACGGGGTTGCATCTCAGAGTGAAATGGAGAGGATAGTGGGAAGGGAGTGAGGGTATGAGGGAGAAACCAGTGTTCAACCTGTTGTTGGCAGATACCAGGGACAAGGTCGGGATCGTGGGTGATTGAGGGACCTTCGTCAGTAGTATAGCAAATGTGGTCGATGCTGGAGTTGCTGCGTGTGTGATTGAGGATGTTGTTGAGGACAATCTTGCCAGAAGAGAAAAGGTCATGTCTATGTGCGAGAGCTGGGGCAATGTCCTCCATTTTGTGCTTTTCTGCTGCCCGGCATTGGGCACGGTAGATGGCCTGGTGATGGCGGTTGAGGACGGGGAGTAAAACATCACAATAGTCAGTTGTGTCAAAGAAGCGGGCTTTGTACTGAGAGTGGATGTGGGACAAGAAGGAGTAAGACGGATCTGCGCCCCACTCAGATGGGGTCAAAGGAATGGAAAGGAAGATGTTAGCCAGATCTTGCGCAGGGTCTTTGGCAAGTGCCCACAGTTTCTCTACTTTCCAATGTGCAATGAGAAATGGTTTGGCGCAGCAATCTATCTTTGGCGCTACTGAGGAGGTTCCCTTGTGAGGAAGGAACTTTTTGCCAAGCTGAGGCAGCAACTTGTGAAATGATGTGGAGAGTGTGTCAAGAGATTTGCACCATTTTCTCAGATTGGGGGTCAGCAGGCCAGTAAATATTTCGCAGGAGGATGGAGCGTCAAAAGATAAGGTGAGGGCAATGGCACGAGTTCCAAAGTGGGAGACGTCAGTGATGTGTGGTGCCAGGGAAGATGAAATGATGAAACCAACGCAGCATGACGGGAGGGGGTGGAGGATACGAAGAAACCTTTGTAATTCCTAGTGATGTGACGAATGGGTTGGATGGTCTCTGTGTTAGAGCAGCCAGTTTCTTGAATGGCAAGGATGGAGGTTTTGGTGTGATCAAGCCAGTGGAATATAGATGCAGCCTTGGTGGGGAAGCACATCAGATGTTCCAAGTTGCAAAGTGAGGGAGGGGTGGTGTTGTTGGGGGTGGTGTGCTAGACACAGGGCTAGTTGACAAAGCTGACTAAGGGGTGCAGGAGGTCCTGCTAATAATGTCTCTGTTTTTTTTTCTTCTTTTTTTTTTTTGGAGAAATAAGAGTGATATCAACAGCAAAGGGGCTTTCACAAAAGAATGAATAAGGATATTGGTCAAGTTGAGGCAGTGTTCCTGGTTTTTGAGGCAGTTTTTGGGGCAGGTTTGGCAGCAGGTTTGGCAGCAGGTTTGAGGGCAGGTTTGCGGGCAGGTTTGGGGGCAGTTCTGTTGGGAGGAGTTGAAGAGGAACTGGAGCTTGAGCGTGTGGTGACAGCTGATCGAGCTGGGACAGTAGCAGCAGAAGAAGGTTCAGTCCTCATCAATCAGGTCATTGTACTTCAACCATTCTTCAATTGTCTGGAGGTGGGAGCTGAGGAGTTGGGAGGTTGTGTGCACTGCAGTGAGGCGGCTGTCCAATTGTGCAGTTAGTGGCTCCAGTGTGGTGACTTGCTCATTTACGTTGTGGATGGCACCAGCATGGTTTTTGAGTGAAGTATCCAAGTTGGCTGCAGCAGCTGCAAGTCTCTGAATGTCATGGTCCACCTTTGCTAGGCCATGTTCCAGTGCCGCAGGAATTGGCTCAAGTTGGGTAAGCTGAGTGGTGAGTGTGAGGACGACAGGCTGTTGAGCCTGTGACCTCAAATAGATTAAGTGTATACTGTTATGAATCACCCTCTGGAAACCTCTGGAACCTTCTAGAACATTCCTTCATGGAACCTTGTGGAACCTTCTGGAACCTTGTTTGCTTTCCTGACTTGTCTTGCTGTCATTGGCATCATTGGTATCATTGTATTACTAATTGATCTTTCTGTAACTTTCTTTGAGTCTTGACAAGGAAGACTCTCAAAAGGTATAAAAGGGGGATGGGGGACTGTCCCATCCTTCAAGTGAATTATTGTTTCCAATACAATCATCACTCCTCTCAGTTCCTTGTCTGCCTTGTCCTGTCCTGCCCTGTTCCTGACATCATAATTCACTTCACCCTCTCCTACTACTCTCTGCCATCATGTCTGACCCAAACAACACCTTCCCTGATGCAACTGCCTTCCAAGCCTTGATGGACCAATTACAAGCCCTTTCAAGACAGACACAGCAACTTCAAGAACAAGTCCTTCACCAGCAGCACCAGCTTCAACAACAACTTCACCAACAAGAACATCAAGCTCTTCCCCTGCCCCAAGCCAACCAAGCAAGAGAGCCCAAGGTTCCCAGCCCTGACAAGTTCACTGGGCTGGCCAAAGACCTTAGGAACT